TGTCTAAATTGGTGGATTTTAAAGTGTCACTTGGTCTGTGGATTAGGCCAATCCATCCCACATTGTTGGGGCTGCAGATGCAGCTGAATGGCTCATAATTACAGTCTAAAGAAACTGCAGACAGCAATAGAGCCAACCCAGACCCTTTCCCTCCTTATAGCCCATGCCAAGCTGTCTCCCCCGGGGAATGGTAGTGTGGCTGGCTGTGTTGCAATGTAAATGCCCAAAGACAACACATACGGTGCAGAGAAAACTGTTAGATCTCTGGAAATTGAGTCTGATCATTTATCTGTTCCTGTGTACATTGTTTCCTGCTTCATACTTCAGGAGGGTTCAGTAACAGACTAAGCTGAATGGCAGTAACTTCTGCAAATGTGGTATCTATAAATGCAAGAAGATGCCAAGGAGAGAACTGCCATTAGGGGACCCCATTCTAGCACTGACACTGCCTTCTTTGGGCTGTAGCTTTGGGCAGAATGATTCACTCTCTCCAGCTCCTTTTTCCCTCTGGTAAATAGAGGGCTGGATCTGACTATCTCTAAGAGATTCCCAACTAGCTCAACATGTGACAAAGCCTGAGACCTAAATTTTTGTCTCCAAAAGAGGCACAAAAAACATTGTCTTCCTTCTGAACTTGAACTTCAGCTATTCTCTGACTTAAAACAAATGCAAATTTGCAGTTTCTCTTGTAATCAGGTAGTGCTGGAGCTTCTCCAGGGAGGCCAAAGCTGAGCATGATCCCCAAATCAGTACCTGAGGAAGGGGCTTGGAGAGATTGTTCAATTAAACCTGATCATTCTCCCTCTCTCGCTGTAGACAGTTCAGGTAAATAGGGTTCAAGCTTCTCTGCAAGGGGGATGACCACAGAAAAGAGATTCAGATGATTTCTCGCATATTCTGCCTTTTACTGGATCTTCATAGCGGTAACAAAGACTTAACTGCAACTGAGCACTTTTTCTGCCCTAGACGCTGTGCTAAGTGCTTTGCATGCATTATCTCATTTAATCCTGCAAACATCCCTGAAGGTAGGTGCTTTTAGTCCCTCTAAACATGGAGAAACAGATTTGCGGTCATTGAAGTGTTTTATGTGCAGTAATTCAGCTGGCTACTTGGTAGAGCTAGAATTAGAACCCGAGTCTTTGTTCAGAGCCTACTCTACTGTCTCTCATCCTTGTTTGATTGTGGAGAGGCCCCTCAGGGCAAACAGGCTTCCCAGTCCTCCCCTCTTCCCTCCCAATTACAGCTCTTCTTATCGCTCACTGTTTATTGTACCTTCCAAACAATAGCTAATGAATCTGTATTATATGGTAGGATGAGCCAGGGGTGATTGTATTCCCTGAAACAGAGATGAGGTTGTGACACAAAAAGGTTAAGTGACTTTGGTGAGGTCACAGAGCCAGCCCACAGTTAGTGACAGCAGAGCTCTGAGTCCCCAGTTGGGTTCTTGAACTGACCCCACAGCCTTTTGGCACCAGCATTTAATTAAGAGAGTTGTTTTCATTTTCCTTTCGATCTCCACTTTTCCATTTTATTGCCTCTGGATAACGGTATATATCGAAGCCCCAGGCATTTTTCTTCCCCAATGTGCTTTTTAATGACTCAACTTATCACGTAGAAACCACTTGCTGTAGAGTTAAGTTTTTAGAAGCCTGTTTGTGTGTGACAGGGGCTGTTGCCTTTTCTCGGAGAAAAACAACCACAAACGCAACTCAGACAGGTTGTTAATAGAGGACTTTTTTTTTTTAATCTTACATTTAAACCAGTAAATCAACATCTGTGAGTCATAAACTTGTTCTGGATCAGCCGTTAGTGGTCTGAATGTTTCTGCACCTATCTGCAATAAAGCATATTTTAGCTCAAAACTCAGAGATCCTTTGGTGTGTGGAAGTTCAAGATTCAGGAAATAGAAAGCTTACTGTAGCACACTTTTGCAGAGGAAGTCTGTCTACCATGATCGTTTTAAATTAGGTGTATTTATATTTCTTTTATACTGAAGTTGGGATGGAGTTGAGGGAGGAGTATAAAAGAGAAAGTTTATGTTTTTTATATACTCCATGTGTTTCAGGGAATTCTTGTAAAGACGTGACTATTTGCTAGATAATATTAACGTGCACACCCCTATCATCCCAACTCCTGCTGCTTTTTTTGGCCCTTATTGGTATGCTGTTCCCAGTTTTAAGAAGTTTCAGCATTGGCTGAATGGAATTCCCTGTCTTAGGAATGTTTAAAAATACACTTTGTTTTCTCCTAAATACAGGAAGAGCAGACCGTTGTATTACAGCAAAAGCAAAGAAATTATTTCCTTGGTTGATTTTTCTTTAGCGCCTTATGAATCAGATAGAGACTTGACACAGCTGTCTTGTGGGACAAAGGGCAGACCTTGAGGTGGAGTCGCTGACATTTTTTAGTTCATCTTAACAAGCCATAACATATCGAAAAAACTTAACCTTTAAATTAAAAAAGAGCTGGTGGCAATGTAGAAGCCCGTCACCACCAGGAACTTCACAGTTTATTATTCAATACATACTTATTGAGCAGCTTGCATTGTAAGATACAAATGCCATCCTTAGATGTTCTAATCTACCTGTGTCCTACTAACAAGAATGAAAATTTCCCTTATCAAAACTGATTAATCAAAGAGGATACTCAGAAGCCTGATTGGATTAGTATCCCAAGTATGTAAGAATTATTTAAAATTTTCTGTGTTAGTGTTCCTTGACCTCAAACTGAAGTTTCAGCCAAGTCTGAGGTTAGATGCATAACTTCTGGTAACATCTCTATTCATAATTTGCCTCAAGTAGAAGTAACTGTGATGGAGGTGGTGAGTGGTGGTCCCTGGCTATCTTGCCAACACTCCTGTTTTATCCAACCCCATTCCTTGCTTTGGACATTCAAACATTTTGAGCTTCTGTGCTACAAGTGAGCTGTCATTGTTGAAGGGCTGAAGGAATAAATTCCCCCGGTGCCAGTATTTACGTGTAATGATGGCAGTCTCTTTCAGTGTCTAATGTGGGGGGGGGGGGGTTGTCAACAGCAGTGTTTAGGTTAGCCTGGGGATGAAAGCTGAGGGGCGACCTGGGGTAGGGAGAAAATGATTTGCTGGGGAAAAGCTCTGTTTGAAAATAGTGAAGTATTCACACTTTGATTTAAAAATACCAGCATTTTCTTAACACAACATCAATAAAACAAAATTCCCCAAGCAACTCTTGATTTGCTCCGTTTTCTTGCTGATGTGTTTATTCATAGTGGGTAAGGCAGGATTGGTTCAAGATCTGTTCCTTGCTTCTCATTTGGATGTGTAAATGCACAATTCATTCATCAGCTGTTTCCTCCTGCTTTTCCCAGGATCAGAACTGTCTGTTCTAGTCATCTGGAGGCCCGCATTGTTTTCTCATACCTTTTGGAAACACAGCTGGCTTTCAACAATCCTTCAAAAATTAGGATTAGCACATACAATATTTTCCTCTGGTCCCTGAAAGAGGGGCACAATCTGAAGTTTGAACCAGGGGCTGGAGATTTATTTTCTATTCTTGGCTCCTTTCTTCTTCATTTGCTGTGGAAACCTGCATGTTATGAATGCTTCAAGGAGACAAAACTGGCATTAAAGGTAAGCAGGTGATCAGAGGCAGAGGTCACAGCTCCAGGCAAGTGGTGGGAGCTCAACATATGCTTAGAAACCAGGAAACAGTATTAAAAATAGCTTTCTCTAAGGTTGTTCATAAAGATTTATGTTTAATCTTTTAGTTAATCACAGATCTTAATGCCTGGCTCTAGGTGTGGATATATGTCTATGTGTTTAGTCTCTGTCTGCTGGTTGATCTGTTAATGAGAACCAACTCTCTTCCCTTATGATAACCAATACATCAGTGGCAAAACATTCATTATTCGGGATCATGTTGTAGTATCCCAAGGGTCTGGAGTTCCTAAATGGAATGGAGGCTTGCACTGTGATTCTGTCATGGCTTCCAATGATGTACTCCAGAAATTCAAAACCGCAGAGCCTCTGCTTCACTTTTTTGGTGGTGGCAGTAGTGGGGTTGCCAGTTTTATCTAGTTGAGGAGAATCCGTGGAAGGAAAGACTTAACTCTGGTCAATAGTGATCTAATTAGAGGAAGGAACAATAACTCCCCCACCCCACCCCCAAACCCAACCACTGCTGTAAGTAAACGGGAAGCTTATGGCAGCCCATGGTTGAATTCTAAGTTGGGGGTCCTTTTCTGGACTCTTACAATATGATGCAAAAGAATTGGGCCTCTGTTTCAGGGTCTCCACTAGGCTGCCCTGGGCTTCATCCTTGGAGGGCAGCGAAACAAGCTTTCTGCTCACGAATGATGCCTCCGTCATTTCTTAACTGCTTTCTTTCTTAAGGACGGCACGGGTGGGGTCTAAAAAACCGAAGGCTCCTTTGGAAACAAACACAGCCCCCATTTCTGACTCACGACCCGGCTAGAGTCCAATATCCATAAAGCCCTTCGAGGACATTGGCTCCAAAATCCCCCCTGCGCCCGATCGCACGCACGCCCCTTCGTCCGCATGCCTCACGTCCTGTGTGTCAGTCTTTGTGAATGAATGATGTACACGCACTCGGAAAACTATGCTGCTGCGGGGAGGGGGCAGGGCGGGTGACCAAGCCCTCAAGAATGCGTGGAGAATCGGCCGGACTTTCCCCAGCGTCGCGGGCAGCCTCTGCGCGCAGCCCGTCGGCCACGGCCCTGCCCGCCCGGCTGCGGGCTCGGCGCCCCGCTGCAGGGTCAGCGCCTCAGGCCCGACAGCCCGCGGAGGGCGCGGGGCGGCGGAGCTCCGCCCGGCTTCCTTTCTGTTTGGGCCGCCGCCGGCGATTGGCCGCGGGCCGCGGGCCCGCCCCGCCCCCTCTGCCGCCCCCGCGGCCCCTCCCCTCCCCCCCGCGGAGACCCGGGGGCTGGGGGGCCGGGCGCGCGGAGCGGGCGGCCGTGGCTCGGCGCGCGAGGCACGCCCCGAAGGGGAGGGCAGAGCGCGCGGCGAGAGGGCGGGCGACAGCGCGGGGAGAGCGCGGGCGAGCCGGAGCTGCCTGCCGGCGGAGCGGAGGCAGCGGGCCGCGGACGCGGAGCGGGAGCGGGGCGAGGCTGGGACCCGGGCGCGCGCACTCCGCCGCCAAGTGCCAACTTCCCCGGGGAGAGGGCCGGGCGCGCACCGTCTGGGCGCGGCGCAAAGTCAGCGGAAACTGCAGATTTTAGGGAAGAAAGTCGGATTCCCCCTGTCCCCTGTCCCTGGTTACGAATCCCCATTAAAAAGAAAAACAAGAAAAACAGCAAACTTGCTATAATCCTGTCCCCCCACTCCTGGCACCATGAAGGCGGCCGTCGATCTCAAACCGACGCTCACCATCATCAAGACGGAAAAAGTCGATCTGGAGCTTTTCCCCTCCCCGGGTGAGTGGTGACTGCCGAGGCCCCCACCCCGGCTCTCGACCAGAGGCCGGCGCGGGGCGGGGGCCCTCCACTGCTCCCCCTCTTTGCTCTTCCCTTCCAGGCAGCATGTTTCTGCCTGAGCGGGGCGATGCTGGCGGCAGCTGGAGCAAGGTAGAGATGAGGAGGGCTGTTGGTGGCCCGATACCCTTGCTTGGGGGCTATTTATTTTCACAGCTGTGTGTCTGTGAGTAGTGGGAAAACGCTTATAGAATGGCCACCACCCCTATTCGTCTTTTAAAAATTTCTTTAAATGAGCGAGAACCTCTGGCCTCAGTAGTTAATGTTAGAGGGGTGGGCATTGTCCAGAGGACATCCTCCCCTGACCCTGCGCTCCCTTACCCAGAATTAGAGCTGGACGCAGGGGCCCTGGCAGTGAGAGCGGAATGGGGTCTAACTGCCTGGCCTTCAAGCACATTTTCAAATGTCTTGCCTTTCTGAGCTACACTGTCACATGTCCCTTCGCCGTTTACCTCCTCTCTTCTGGGTTGAGGGTGAGGAGATGGGAGGAGAACTGAAATTAACATCCGAACTTTGGGACGCATCCCGATTCCGTTCAGGCAGATCATTCACTTTATCCATTTTTCTAATCTGCCATAAATTTGTCCTCTGGTACCAAAGATATGTTAGAAGAGGGAAAACATCCCAAAACCTGATATGAATTTGGGTCTTCGATTGGTGGTTTATCCAGCTCTTTTGACTGGAAGGATTTGAAGAAGAAAGGGGTAGGAAAGAAATTTAATTTTGTCTCAGACACAGTTTTTGAAGTTAAGCAGTTTAATGGAGTCTGGCCCTCCAGAATTCCTGGAATAAATGCAGTGTGAGAAGAAAAGATGCTTTCTTTGAGGAAAGGGAACTGCCCGCTGTCCTTAGAGATCAGTGATTTGGGAAGTAAAGGTATAAGGAAGATAGAGACAGAAGGTGACATTGTGATACTTTCTGGAAAATAATTAATTTTAGCAACATGTTCTGTTGTATCCGATTATCAGTAAATTTAGTTGCTGCTCTCTGGTTAACACTTCTCTGGTTCTTACTTACTTTAACCCTTTCTTAATTTGCTTAAACTTTCCTTGCAAGCCAAGCTGATGTTTTGTTTGTCGTTTGGGGATCCTTCAGAAATGTTAATGAAGACAAGGTCATGTCCTCCCCTCTTAAGACCATCTAATCAACCCAGATATTGCTCTCTGGGAAGTGCAGAAAGAAGGCTCAGCTTGTTTGCTGTCACAAGGATGGTGATGGTCCGAGCAATGCTGAGACCAGCTGGAACTGTAGGGACATTTCAGGCACTTGGAACTAGGATTCAGAAATGGTGTCCCGACGGTGGGTGCATTTGGGGCTTCAGGGAAGCCGGAATAAATTCTGTTAGTCACAACTGATTCAAACCATTTATAAAAGAAGTGAAAAGACAGTTCCCAGCAAAGATATAAACTCAACTAATGGGTTCTTTCCTTAAGAATGGCTTGTTTATATGTATGCTTATGGGGACGAGACAGATTTTTGGTCATCTGGGATATATCGTGGAGATATGTCAGTTCACATACCTACAATGGATTTTGTGTGCTGGGAATGAAAAAGAGCCCCTGGCAACACATGTTTTACATCAGAGGGAACAGCTAAAGCAATTTTTTGGGGGCAATTTAATATTAAATATTAAGAGATTTTAAGTATATGGTGCTGTTATTTTTGGTTAGTGATAATGGTAAACCGTGGGCAATTAACTTTCCTTAGCTTTCCCATATATAAAATCGGGGCAGTTAAGGCCTAATGCTACAGTCAACAGGCACCATAATAAGCACCTTTATTGTGCCTCTGTTTTTCAGAAAGGTTTACAAGCCACTGAACAAGTTTTGTAAGCAATCGTCAATACAACAAAATTTCAGCTGAACCAAACAATTGCAAAAGATCTTCTGCCATTCATTGTAATGAAATTTGATTTCTGGCACTATCTTGGGGAAAATAGAGAAACGTGAAAATATATAGAAAGTATAATAACTAAATTTCAGTTTATTTTTTTCTGCATGTTTAGTAGCATGTATGTGAATATGGCCTCAGAGAGGGGAAATAGAGGCACAGAGAAGCTAAGTCACTCACCTAAAAATATCTAGTGAGCCAGCAGCTGATATAAAATTAATCCCTTTTTCTAACTTCTCATTGTATGTTGCCTTGAGCAATACTGCAAGTTACCTTTGGGAAGCTCAGCAAAGAAACGTCAGTTGAGACTTAAACTTGCAGGTGCAAGGATGGAAGAAACATTGGCCAGGGCTGCCTGCTTTTGTTGGTGGGAGGAGAAGACATTGGCTAAATGGGGGTTTGCTTTGCCCATCAGACCATATAGGATGTGTGTTTAAAGTTTAACTTCTCACAGCGTGGCTTTGTGTCCACAGCTGTGACTTAAATATTTGTCAGAATGATTCTTTGGGTTATTTAGTTTCATATGTGTGGAGACAACTACTTTGGGATCTTATCTGATTTAAATGATTAAACCAGGTTCCCCCCACCCCCAGCCCACCCCAGTACGGGTGAGCCAAAGTAAGGCAGTAGGGAGGCGGTGTCAAAACAGGAGTCCTGGATTTATTTGCCTGTCTGTGGCTTGGACCTGGCGAAGAACATTTACTTACTTTTGTCCTAGATTGAGACCTCACAAGATTTTCGACGACTTTGAGAGTACCAAAGTAAAAATTATTTGAAATGACGTTGGAATTGAATTTTCTTTGTAAGTTGAAAGCTGGATACGCCGTCTTGATTGCAATAGGTGACTGCAGGGGTCTCAGATCTTAAATGAGCTAAAATGAACAAAGCCACCGAGTGTCCAAGGAGTTTCTCCTGGTGTGGAATTTGCTGAGAAGGGGTGGAGGCTGAGTGTCAAAGCAGAGACATTCTCAAGCCGCTTAGTGTTTCTTGTCCTTCCCCACTACACCTTCTTGGTAAGGTGAGCATAAAGCCCAGGGAAGGAGTGGGCGTTCTAATTCTGGATGTTTGCTATTTTACAAGGGTACATGGGTCTGTCTTTTAACTGCAGAGAAGGTCCATCGTCTGGGACCTGAATTGTCCTTAGGGATAGGAAGAAGCTTTACCCCTTTCCCAGTCCCTTTGGTCAGTCTTTGTATTTTCATCAGCGTGGACAAAAAAGAAGGGTGGAGCTACCCAGTCTATTAGGATCGCTTTGTCACTGTACTTCCTGACCCCATGGACCACACTCCCAGTAGTGACCGAAGAACCCAGAGGCTCAGAGCAGGTACTCTGGAGCTAGCCTGTCTGGGTTTGCATCCCAGCGCTGTCACTTCCTAGCTGTGTAACTTTGGACAAATTACTTAATCTCTCTGTGTTCCAGCATTTGCATCTATACAATGAGTATAATAGTTGTTCGACCACATAGGGTTGATAGAATTATATCTACGAGTGCGTGCAAAATCTTAAAATAATGCTGACCTATAGTAACTTCTATTTAACAGTTAACTCAAAAAAAATTAACAAAAAATGACCCTGACCAGTGCAGAATTTTCAGGGGTGCTTGCAGTATTTCATGGGGGCCACCTCTGTGTTATGAACTCCCCCTAATTTCTTATTTGAGAGGGAAAGAAGAATAAAGTTAAAGAGAGCCTTTTTTTACCTGCTTGGTTGAGATCACATGCTGATGAAGTTCTATTCTGTGCCCCAGGTAGCTTTCAGAGTGCCAGAGTGTCTCGAGGTCCCAAATGACAGTTAAGGGCACAGGGATCAGTCAGTCACTTTGGGTGATAGAGGCGGTCAGCAAGAAGGCCACCACGATCAGGGAGCAGAGGGACATTTGAAGGGTGGATGGAAAAAAAGAGTGTTTCAATTATGCAGACTTGAGAAATGCATCATGTCCAGTTATTATAAAGTATCTCACATTTTATTTATTTATTGGGTTGGCAGAGCTTACATTCCTGGCATTTTTGTTTGGTTTGTATTGCTGTTTTTTTCTCTTTTTTTGGTCTGTAATTTTTTTTCTTTCTTAAAGAGACCAGACCACCCTGTAGGAGGATTACCTCCCTCTAGAAGACAAACCATCCCATGGCCAAGCTCCCAGAGCCCAGCTTGCTGTGGACTCCGTTAAAATCTCTGCAGAACTGAGAGCTGGTTAGTGTAGGTCAAGATTTTTCAGGAAAGCGAGGGGCCTGGTTTCAAAGAGCACAGATAACTTTGTAATGGCTATAGCGACAGCATAGTTACAGATGTCTCTCTCATTTGTAGAATGAATACACCCTGGCTTTGGTGGCATTCCATGAACTTGCATGGAAGTCAGATTCTTGCTGTTAACAAGTTGTAGGGGTGTTTCTGAAACATTTAGTGAACCTGTATTATCTGCCTACACTTTTACATAAGCTAGCACTTTTACACTTGACACTGGTTCTGGTGGGGAGAGGTATTATTTGACCCATTTTTCGGATGAGAAAAGTGATATTCAGAGAGATGCATAATTTGCTTAAGCCCACATTATTAGACATTTACAAACTGATGAGCTGTTTTAGGCATTGTATACCTCAAGCGAGCACATGTTATTCATATTACTTGCTGAAACTCTGGAAATGAATATTTAGTGAACCTGTATTATCTGCCTACACTTTTACATAAGCTAGCACTTTTACACTTGACACTGGTTCTGGTGGGGAGAGGTATTATTTGACCCATTTTTCGGATGAGAAAAGTGATATTCAGAGAGATGCATAATTTGCTTAAGCCCACATTATTAGACATTTACAAACTGATGAGCTGTTTTAGGCATTGTATACCTCAAGCGAGCACATGTTATTCATATTACTTGCTGAAACTCTGGAAATGAAAAGAGGGGCATGAGGAGGCAGCGATGGCTGGTGCTTTGGGGGTTGAAGAGGTGCAGAGGCTCCCTGCCATCTTGCATGACCCATCTGAGCTTGGGCAAAGGGTATGTTCCATGGCTGTCTCCAGGCCTGGCAATCCAGATGTGTCACTTTTCAGAAGAA